GGGGCAATATATGAAGCCAGGAAACCCACAGAATCAGCTGACCTGAGCTGGTGAGAGATCACTGACTCACGTCTGACAAATGGGGAACCTGAATAAGACTGAACTAGACTCCCTTAATATAGGTGACAATGGTGTGACTGGGGCAATATATGAAGCCACTGGCAGTGGGTCCAAGATCTAACACTAGTGCACAAACTGACTTAGTGGATCCCATTCTATATGGAGAGATACCTTGCCCAGCCTAGACACAGGGTTGTGGGGGGTAGAAAGGTGCCTTGGTCCTGCCTCAGTGAGATAATGGGACAGACTTCCAAGGGGAGGCCTCACCCTCTCTGAGGAGCAGATGGGAGGAGAGGGGAGAGTGGGAGGAGTGGGAGGAGTGGGAGGAGAGGAGATAGGGGGAACTGGGATTGGAATGTAAAAAATAAATTAGTAAAAAAATTTAATGAAAAAAATTTAAAAAAAGAGTTAGTGTTAAGCTGGGCGTGTAGTGGTACATGCCTTCAATCCTAGCACTTGGCAGGCAGAGGCAGGCAGATCTCTCTGAGTTCAAGACCAGCCTGGTATATATAGTGAGTTCCAGAACAGCCAGAGCTACATAGTTAGACCCTGTCTTGAAACAAACAAACAACAACAAAAGGGAGTTAGTGTTGAATACACACTTTTAAAAACAAACTGCTATATTTGGCATAAATTGAGTGTTCTACTTATCTCTGGCCTAGGATTAGTCCAAATATAGTCACTGTTTAAGTGAAGGACTGTCTAATATAAGGCACAAGCTATTTTTTCAATGTAGGGTTGGTGTTTAATGAAATTGAGGCAAAACAAACATGGGTCCTAGCCTTGTACCCTGAACAGCAGCAGAGACAGAGCTTTGATATAAAAGTAGCTACACCACACCTCAATTGACATGGTAGAAATGAAACTATGGAATTCTACTTGCAAAATGGAAAGGGTGTAGAGAATAAAGGAATCTGAAAACACCTACTTATAAATCATTGACCCAACCCCTTTCCTATCTCAAACATCCAAATTACCTCTGGGTCTTTGAAACAAGACAGTAACCCACAAAGCAGAAGGGATCTACTGAATCATAAAACAACTTAAAACACTGAACATTTAGATGAAGACTATGGCATATAACATTGAGTATGTACATTTTGCTTGTTATAAGACAACAGTATTTATAGGCATCTCAAAACTGAGGAACAAGAGGAGAACTCAATCTTGTGCCACTATAATTACTAATATGAAGAAATGGTATGGGGTGGTAGAGATTTTGTTGATATTGCATACCCATTTTAGGCTGAAGAAGTTCAAAATTACATTCTCTCTAAGGTTTTAAATACTTTGATAGTGAATTCTCTTCCCAGGGAATAAAAACTTCATAACTGATTGCTCCCAGGGGAAAAAAAGGGGGGGCTATTAAACGAAAGTCTCAGTGCCTGGCATGGATATCTCATTTCAGATTATTAACCAAAAGACCCAGATACTTCCAAAACAACATAGGCTTTTGCCAGTGCCCTTGGTTGCTCACTATAATTAACTAGATAGTAAGATCCTATAGTTAAAGATATCATACACTTTGGTTGCTAGACACAGAAAAATCAATCTGGAGCAGACTAGCAAATTTCTTCCTTCTGGCTAGTTTTCACATGTCACAAGGTACTATGCAGACTATTGGGGGAGGGGCGGGAGGAGGGCACCATCATAGTCCTACCTGGTGCTGGATGCTGCATGCTACCATACTGACCTGTAAGGCAAGACACACCCACTGGGGCAATAGTGGCATGACCGTTATGGCCATGGTAACTACCCACTTTCTGACTGGATTTCAGACTCACACCACAGGAGGAAATTCGTGCCTGGCACTGAATAGCTGGCCCGAAAATCTATGGTTAGGGAGGTCACAGACCCTACAGGGAAACGTACTATTGTTGTTTTTGCTAATAGCTTGCGTTGTCATTCTGCCTTCTAAATTTTTGTGTTTCTACCCACAGACTAGTGTTGCTGTCAACCTTGGTCAGAGAAACTTCTTTTTGCAGTGGACAACAGTTAAGCCTCATAAACAGTCAAAAAGCTAACTATAGATAAGTGCTACTGAGTGTTCAGTCCTAATGGGAACATCTATATCAACTCCTCGCCCCCAAGGCTCAGGAAACGTCATGGAAAATGGGGTGGAAGGTAGAGAAAGCTAAAGGATGGGAAGGAATGCTTTGAAATGCTGTCTTCTGGACATGATATGGCCATCGCACTCAAACTCACAGGAGCTGGGTTTACATAAATAAGACCTGCACAGCATCAAGTCAGTCAGTGTTCCAGTATGGGTTGGGGAGGAGCTCAC